GAGTTGACCATCTTCCAAAAAGACACTCCACTCCAGATCTGGCAACGACACTTGGCCACCTCCATCCCACCGATCATTACTTTCCTGAAATTAGCGTTGCCACACTTCGAAATCCCCACTCACACACCCCAATTCCTACAAATCCCAACCCACGAAGCCAAATCCAATGCACCCGCACACTCGGCTTGTGTTAAGAAACAGATGCCATTGTCGACATCTCTCCACCGCTGGAGGGTTGTAACCCTAGTAGAGCATTCTCTGCAGCACTCTCCCGTAAGCTAAAGTAAGGGCATATATACTTGGAAAAATATATACAAAATCTTCCTTTCTTTTGTTTCTTTTGCTGGTGTTTCTTTAATTTTTTTTTTTTTTGACTTTGTGTTGTTGCTCTACTTGAGCCTTTGCTTTTTCATGTTTTTTTTTGGGAAAAAAAGATTATTTTATTTAATTCTATTTATAAGTCACTTTCAGACTGGAACCAAGAAAAATTAATTCTTTTTAAAGAGTCAACAAGTTTTCAACTTTACTCCTATTAAGTATACATACTTTAAAAATAAAATACTCTAGCATTTAATAACATTCAAACATTTACTTCCCTGTCTCTATATATAAAAAGTTTTCTAAAATTTTTTTTGTCCTTAATAAATCCTTTTACATTGGAAAGAAAAAAATAAGTATTCATATTAATTTATTTTTAAAAAAGATATTTATTTTTATTTACAATAATTAAGAAAAAATTGAAATGTTGCTGTGCTTTTAAGTAAATAGCCAACTTTTATTGATTTAATGATTCAATTAAAAATATCTTATATATAGAGACGAAAAAAGTAATTGGAACAAAATGGTAAAAATGAACACAATAATCATTGAGGTACCAAAACAAATACTCTCTCTCTATAAAGGACAAAAAGAAAACTAAAAATTTACATATCTATTTGCCTGTTTAATGTAGTTGACTTCAAATTCAAAAAAAAAAAAAAAAGTTCACGATGTCACCATCTCATGGAAGATTGTTCTTGGTATATATTTTCGTTTAATTGTTAACAATTTTTTAACCATCAGTTTGATTGTTAACAATTAGTCTCTACTCTCTAGGTCTGTTTTGAGTTCAATTTAAGAAAAATAGAGAAGCATAGTTAAAAATTTTTAATTAATATTGATTATGATTTATAGCTTATCTTTATTAAAAATATTTAACCTCACTTCCCTATTTTTCTTAAATTGAATTTATTAGAATCTTCCTTCCCCCCTCCATTCCCTTTTAACCAAACACGGGATAAGTATTTGTGTGTGTGTGCTTGCGTGCGTCTTACTTTACGCTTTTAACAATAAAAAAGATTTTCACCAAAAATCAGTATATTTCGATTAATTATGTTATTCCTATCAAAGAGTCATCGTTGTCACACTTGCTTTGCCAAACACAGCTTTATTAATTAGTATTATTACTATTATTATTATTATTATTATTATTATTATTATCCCCAGTCCTCCCTTGTTGACAAGTTATAATTAAGTGCATTCATTTATGCTTCTGTCTCAGAATTCAGAAATATATGAAACATATTATCTGACAACGACAAGAAAATTAAATTTTGGTCACAACTCACTAGCTAGTCAAAAAGCTCAAATTTAACAAAACAAAACCCACAAGCTGATGAGTTCAACACATAAGAAATTAGCTAATTCCTTTCTTATCGGAACCACCAACCCTGCTTGCATAAAGGATTCCTCAGCTTCAGCATAACCGGTAAGAAAATCCGCGGCTTTGAACAAAATATTTTAAAAATAGTATAAAATATTTTTTTAAAAAAAAGAAAGAAAGAAATTTCGCATCCCTGCATAAAAATCTATAAAATTATCAACTGTATGATTATTTGAACAAAATATTAAATATACTCTTTATTAATAAAATTCATTTTCCCAACATTTGGCTAATTATTTTATTTATGAGATAACTTTTATTTTATTGGTACAAACGATATACATATTTTTTTTAAAAGAATTCAAACCAGGACGAAAGGGAAGATCTGGCGGGATTATGGATAAATCCAAGACAATTAAAAAAAAAGAGACAAAATACATTTTATAAACCATGCCTAATATGTTGTATTTTATAATACAATTATCTAGTATCTACTTCTTCCGTGCTCTATATAAAATATTTTTAACTGAATCATGAAAATTAATAAAAATTGGTCATATAATTAAAAGAACATCAAAATTTTAATTTTACCCTTAATTATTGTAAATAAAAAATAAATATCTTCTTTAAAGTAAATTAATGAGAGTACTTTTTTTTCTTTTTAATTTAATAAGGGTATAATAACTCATTCATTAAAAAAATATACTAACAACCTCTTATATTTAGGGATAGAAAAAGGTTTTAGAAGATCTCTTATATATAGAGACGGAGAGAGTTTGTTGTCAAATCATATTTAAACATTTTTGATATTAATTGGAGTAACTATCTCTTAGTTTATTTATTTATTTATTTATTTTCCATTTACAAGATTCAACACAGTCACTAGTCTCTTATACTCATAGTTGCCAAATTCTCATATTAACTCTACGAATTTAACATCTTTATGTTTCTAGCTTGCAAAATCGTGTCAACTCACTCATAAACTCGAACTAGATACAAATTTGGTTAAACGCACGAGTTTACCTCCGAATTTACCATTTTTATGTTTTTAAATTATAAAATCATGTCAACTAATTCATAAATTCGAATTAGATGCAAACTTGATTAAACTTGTTAAGCTCGTGATTTTTTTTTTTTACTTGAGCGAGTTAGGTATATAATATGAAGAATTCAGTTCATAAAAATTATAAGACCTGATTCAAAGAAAAAAAAAACTTGATATGCAAAAACTAATATTAATAAAAAAGAAAACAAAAATACCAAAAACAAGTTTCCTTATTTTTAAATTTTTATGTCTTATGTATGATAATTTATCAATATAGACAGGTTTAATTTTCAATGATTTATATTTTTAATATATTTAAATTAAATTATAATCATATTTTCAAGGTTATTTATTAATAGAGATAGACTCTTACAAATTTATAATCTGAGTTTGCGATACAAGTTTATATTCCTATCACAAGTTTATTTAAACTCACAAGTTTAACGACTTTGCTTATACTCTTTTGGCTGTCCCCTCCCCCCCCCCCCAAAAAAAATTTCATTTCCTTTTCTTTAATTTATTATTTTTGCGCTGAATGAGAGATTTCAGATCTGTTAGGCTGGTTTTATTGGATTCGTGAAGATTCACGAATAAAACTGGCGTTTGTGTAGTTGGAACTATCTGTTAATTCTTCATCATTGGTGCACTTAGATTAACATAAATAATATTAATAAAGCAACTTGAAGACTCCCAGATGCAAATAATAATTTGTACTCTGATTTATGTACGTCGTTGACCTGTACGAGTATAACTTCAATTTGTATTGCCTATGCACATACGACAAGAGTGAACACTTGTCAATAATAATATACTACTATACTACACAACAACATGTAATTACAATATTAAGTCAAAATCTTCTTATTTAAAGTCTCTTCCTTATGAAATGAATACTTTCAACGACATATAGGCCTAGGCCAAGATTTCTTTTTAAACATTATGGGAGTTTGAGTTTTTCACTTTCACTTACATTTTGTCTCACGAATCCTCATTGATTAAGTGATATGAACTTCGAATCCTAAATGCAAGAAAACTATATCTTCCTATTGTTTTTTCAATTTATAACCACAACTTGAACCACCTTCTTTTTTTAAAAAAAAAAAGTACATTGCGTATATCTTTTGCTTAACTCTATTTTTTTCTGCAAACATTAATTAACTTGAATATATATATATATATATATTGCCCTTGATTTTTTAAAAAAATATTAAATGAAATTGTTAAATTATTATTTTATTATTTTGAAACGCATTAAAATTAAAGGAAAATATGAAATTAACATACATAGAAATAACCAAATTACTACTTTAACTAGCACTGATTCAATCTATATATAAGTCATTTTTAAGTAACTCATCAAAATCAAGATAAGTTTCATTTTCCATTTTTACCCTTAACAAACAATATCTTTAAATACTTTCATTTTATGTTGGAAAGTGGTTAGGAGAGCATTTTCGAGCTAACTCAATGTTACATCAAAAGATGAGAAATTACTTACTCCCTTCATCTAGTCCTATTTATAAATTATTTTTAGTATATTTTATTGAAACTAGAAAAAATTTTAAATCTCATTATATTTGTCTAAAAATTTAATAAGTTTTCAACTTTATTCATATTCAATATATATGTACTTAATTTAACATTAATACTCTAACATTTAATAATATTTTTAATATTTAGCAAGGGAAAAAAGTTAAAAATAAATATAATAATAATTGAGGTGTCTTATAAATAAGACTAAAAAAATATATTAAAAACCATAACTTTTTCTTCTAGAAGATGCCTAATAGTCCTCCGATTCTTGGTAGCAAAATTTAATTAACTTTGTGCTTACTAGAAAATTATAATTGTCCTTCTATGCGATTAATAACTATAATAAATTGATGTATATAGAAATTCAAACCTTAATATAAATAAACAAGGAGTAAATTGAAAAATAAAATTAACTGCTCTAACTTTAAAAAAGTTTCCAAAATTTCTCTTATATTAAGGAAGGGGGCGCACACGCGCGCGCGCGCATATATATAGTAATAGACAGAGTAAAATTTTGTTCAACTTTGACTGGAATGCAAATGCTCTAAACTATAAACAGTTGGCTGGCACCATTTATGATCCCATCTGCTTGCATGCCCACAATTGTCACTTGATGATTCTTTTTTTTTTTCCCAAAAAAAAAAACTATATTATATGCCCACTTTGGAGTTAACATGTTTCTTGTTGCCTTAAAAAATGACTTTCGGCATTTGACTCAATAAATAAATAAAAGACTTGTCGGCATTTAATTTTGTCTTTAGTTTGTGGGCAAAAACGTAATTCCACTCGAACTCATCATTACTTAAACGCTCAACTCCATCGCTCCATCACACTCCATTTCATACGCAACAAAAGCAAAACAAGCAAACCATGGGAACCCAATCCCCTCTTTTCCTCTCTTCTTCACTCTTAGTCCTCATAGTCACGTTCTACAATCTCCACACAACCACCGTCGCAGTCAGATCCGCCGGCGCCGGCAATTCCGACTCCACCAGTTTTATCCGTACAAGCTGTGGCATAACACTCTACCCTGACCTCTGTGTCTCCTCTCTCTCTTCTTACAAGAACGCTATCCAACATAATCATGCCATACTCGCTCGCGCCGCCGTAACTGTTAGCCTCGCCAGGGCCCAGACCATGGCCTCCTACGTCTCGAACCTCCTCCGTCGAGCCAACAGCGACGACACCACCTCGGCCCTCCGTGACTGCTCTTACAGCCTCGGAGTTGCGGTTGATAACATCCGCGGCTCGCTCAAGGAGATGGAACGGATGAGTGATAAAAATGCGGTTAACGGCGAGAAATTCAGGTTCCAGATGAGCTGTGTTCAGACGTGGATGAGCACGGCAATGACAGAGCAGCAGTCGTGCAGCCAGCGGTTCGACGCTGTGCGGGACGGCAGCGTGAAGACCGATGTGCGTGGTCGTGTGACGGAGGTGAAGAAGTTTATCAGTAATGCTCTAGCGCTGGTGCAAAGTTATGGGAATAACGTAAGAAAACCCTAAATAAGATACTGCAGATCCACTTTTCATAGCAGGGAAAAAAAAAAATGTATGCAGAGTTTTGTGTGTTAATATGTTGAATTAAGTTAGGATAACGATGACTAATGTATGAATCTTTAATGATAATAATAATAATATGATGCTGTGAGTTACGCATCGAGTGTCTGAACTTTTTGACTATGATTTAAGTTTTGATGACAATCATGATGACATATGACGTTAGATCCAATGCTAGCCATTGCTCATCGTTAGAGTGGATTTTTGGCATCACTTATTTTAGGGAGACTCGTGCACATGGATCATAAATCTCACAATATTTAAAAATTGAATTTTACCTACATTACGAGTTGAAATGACTTTGAGTATCTTTTATATATATATATATATATATATATCAGTTCATATTGTCCTCCTCACAAAATACTCTTTTCGAAACATAATATAAATTATAGTTAATTAATTTATAATTTATAAATAATATTAGTTAAAATATTAAATTTTTAGAAATATTCAAACATTTCCATTTATACACTTATTAAATACATTATATAAAAGCCTTGAAAATAATGACTAAACTTTTAATGTATGATTTTTTTTCAAAAAAAATAATAAATGAAATAAGGATATAATTAAAAAAATAAATATAAAAATTATCAAATATCCTATATTTTGGACCAACAAAATTCTGGAAGTTAATTGCCTTGAATTGTGATTTGGATGCCTATATTTTAAACCTTAAATCGACCTGACAAAATATGTTATTCCAAGTCTCACCCACATTCTGCCTTTCTTTCTCTCTTCATAGGAAGCATCCTTAAACTAGTTACGAGAATATTCAAGACAACATTTGACGTTATATATATCTATGTGATATTTAATCACACACTGCAAAAATCAATTTCGAAGATCTTTAATTTGTATAATAATAGAAAAAGATCTAGAGATCATCTAACAGTAAAAGAACTTCAGTTTTCGAGGAGTTGACCTCTCCTCCACGTTCATAGCTTAATAAAGTGGGATCACAGGCATGGACGGTCTTTAGTGTATACAAGAAGTAACAAGAACGAATAAGAGGGGGAGGTTGCGGGCTCTGTCGGTGTTCTTCTACTTTGGTTTCATCCATTAATTAATAGAGGCACACTTCAACTTATCCTCCCTCTCTCCTTCCAAGGAACTTACGTGCCATTCCCATCTCACTATGATGTAGGTCATTTTTAGAAGATATTAGTTAATTTTTATAATTATTTTTTCAACTATATTTCCACTTTATTTATTATTTTTTAAAAAAATAATAATTTATTAGAATTTCAATTATTATTATTAAAGCACCTATAAATGATATTTAATAAAAATATAATTAAAAAAATGTACAAGTTTTTAAGAAATTAAAATTTTACATAACTTTTTTTCAGAACCGAGAAATAGTTATTGAGTACCCTACTTGTTAATAAAAAAATAATATAACTTTTAGTTTCTAAACTTTTTTTAATTGTTAAGATTTAGCTCTTGAACTTTAAGTTGATATAAGTCAATTTTTATAGTTTATTGAGTTAAAAAATTATAAAAACTGAGTTTTATTAAGTCAATAAATTATAAGAATTGGGTAGTTGAAACAATAAAAGAAAGGCCCAATAATGATAATAGACCCAATCATCTATTAGGCTTTGTTATAGTTTCTGTAAAGGCTTTTGTGTCTATTTCTAGATTATTCTTTGTATCCTTTCCTTGTGTATACATGTGTCTTTGTATTATGCTCCCTAGGGTTATGTACCCTAACTATATTTAGTAATGAATTGCCTTTGGCCTGGTGTGCTACTACTATAATATTGATTTCTTGACTTGGTATCAGAGTTATTTCAGCTGCAACCATGACTACACCTAGTAGCTCACCTAGAGGTTCGAATGACTCATAGAGCTCTCTTGTTTTTGCTTCTCTACTCACTAAGAATCTTAGCACCTCTAGCTCACTCAATCAAATTTTTTCTATCAAGCTCGAGAGAACAAATTATATCATTTAGCAAACTCATATGTTGCCTATTATAAAAGGGCATAACTCAAGGGTTTCATTAATGGGACTAAATTGTGTCTTGTACAGTTTGTGGCTAATGATAAGGGAGAACTTAAGCTTAACCTAGAGTTTAAAGACTAAGTAGCGACTGACCAATTAGTATTCAGCTAGTTACTAAACACTATGTCTCTTGAAGTTTCTTCTGAGATGACTCAAGTTTCTATAGCAGCTGGTCTTTGGAAAGCTGCATGTCAATTAGCTGGTGCTTAAAACAAAGCATGTGTTCTAAAACTAAAATCCTAGTTACAACACACTCGCAAAGGGTTGGCTTGTATGGTTGAATATTTGTCCAAGATGCGTGGTCTTGCTAAGCAACTTTCTCTTGCTAGACATCCTACCGCACTACCTGATCTAATCATCCAGACATTAGCTAATTTGGATGCTAACTACAACTCTATAGTAGTCCAGTTGAGCAAGGAATGTGATGGTTTAAGCTGGATTGAGTTCCAAGCATCTTTGCTCACTTTTGAAGGTCAAACAGATTAACTCTTACAAGTCTCACAGCTAAGCCTTTCAAATACCAATTTCGCTAACTATGCTAAATCATTTTCCTCAACTTATAGATCTTAGCGAGGTAATCATTCAAACTGAGGCTCAAGGGGTCATGCTTGTGGTGCTCATTGTTATAAAAATGGCAACAATAAGGATCATCCTAAATGCCAGCTATGTGAAAGGTATGGTCATAAAGTTAACACTTGCTTTTATTGTTTTGACCAAACCTTTATGAAGTCAAGGTCAAAGAAGAAGGTGATTTTGGTTTTGGGTCCTCAAGTGGTGATTTTAATGCTGCATTCTGGGCAACCCCTGAGATTGTGAACGATGATGCATGGTACCTTGATAGTGGAGCAACTAGCCATGTCACAAACGACTCTACTTATCCAGAGAATACTACTGTCCCTAATGGTAATGTTAAGATTGTTGTCGATAATGAAGACAAACTTCCTATTGAGAAAATAGGATCCCTAACTCTTCAAAATGTTCCTAACAAGAGTGTTACTCTGTATAATATTTGTACTCACCCAAGATTAAAAAGAATCTACTAAGTGTTTATAACTTGGCTTCCGATAATGCAGTAGAAGTTGTTTTTAATACTCATAGTTTCTCTGTCAAGGATAAACAAACAAAGGAGATCATGCTACAAGGGCTACCAAGTAGAGGCATGTTCAAGGTTTATGATAAAAAGGAGAATAGTAGAGCAAAACTTTTATTAGTTGCAAAGAAAGAAGCTAATAATTCAATAAATAGTAGTCATTACTTAAGTAGAAAATTGTGGCATTGTAGACTTAGACATCCAAATGATAGAGTATTGACTCATTATATTAGAGATTTTAACTTAAAAATTTAGAATATGAATGAAACTTTGTTTTGTAAATCTTGCAAATATAGGAAATCTCATTCTTTACCATTCAAGCTATCTAACTCTTATGCCTCTAAACCTTTAGAACTGATACATACAGATCTGTGAAGGCCTTCACCAGTAGCATCTACCAATGGTATTCACTACTATATACTATTTTTAGATGATTACAATCAATTTTCTTAGATTTATCCTCTAAAAACTAAACATGAAGCCCTGTTAATGTTCGTTCAATTTAAAACCTTTGCTGAAAACAATTTAACAGTAAAATTGAAGTTGTATAGAGTGATTGGGGAGGTGAGTATAGAAGTTTTTCTAAGGTTTTACAAGATTCTGGCATTCTTTTCAGGCACTCATGTCCTTATACATCTTAAAATGGGAGAGTTGAAAGGAAACATCGCCATATTGTGGAATTAGGTCTGACAATGCTTGCTCAAGCAAAGATGCCCCTCTTTTATTGGTAAGAAGTGTTTCACACAGCTACTAAACTATTAATACGCTACCTTCTACTATTTTAGATGGTGGAACACCCTACCTAATACTATTCACTAAATACCCTAATTATAATAGACTAAAGGTATTTGGGTTAGCCAACTATCTATGTCTCAGATCCTATAACCAACACAAATTATAGTTTCAAACTATCAAATGTGTTTTTTTAGGCTATAGTAATTCAAATAAGGGCTATAAATGTCTTAGTCCTACAAGCATAATTTATATATCAAAGCATGTAGTGTTTAATGAATTTGACTTTCCTTTCTCTACAAGATTTATAAATAAGAGAGTTGTACGTACCTGTTGAAAAGGAGATCGATCCTAAAATCTTCTTCAAAGGCTATAATTCAAGATTGCCTTCAAGTTGTCCAACTGAAACACCCTACAACAGTCAATTACTGACATCTCTATGAACAATTCCTTAGTAATTATTTCCTTACCTATTGGTGATTCTTCCTTAATGACACCAGTGTTCTCAAAAATTGTTCCAACTTCTCCAGCTCTTAAGACACAAACAAATACCCAGTCAGATCACTCAACTTCACTTTCCTTACAATGTTCAACTATAGTAATAGGGAGTTCTACCTCTTAGCTTGCACTAAATGAAATTTTTTTATAGAACACTCATACAACGGTTACTCGAAGTAAAGCAAGAATTGTTAAACCATAGCACTCCTATGTTGATACTATATATGTTGGAAAACATGACACATTTATCAAACCTCACACTATCAAGGAAACCTTAAGATCTAAAGATTGGTGGAGAGAAAAGAAAGAGGAATACAATGCTCTTGTTTGTAGTAGTGAGGTTGCCAAGTCTTGTTTAGAACAAGACTTGGCAACCTCACTACTACAAAATACCCCCTTACTTGATGTTATTTTAGAAATTATTTGACGGTTTTTAACCATCAAGTAATGAGGCGCCATATATTTATTTGATGGTTAAAAATTGTTAAATATTTTAGAGATTACTTGACGATTATTTCAAAAACCGTTAAATATTTTAGAGATTACTTGACGGTTATTTCAAAATAACCGTCAAGTAATAACTTAAATATTTGCATATACTGCAGCAATATACTTGACGATTATTTAAAATAACTATCAAGTATTTAGTAATATTTGATGGTTATTTTGTAACAAGCATCAAATATGTTTTCGCAAATTTTGTCTGCCAAATACTTGATGGTTATTTCATAATAACCATCAAGTATTGGTACATACTTGAAGGTTATTTTGAAATAACCGT